ACCATTGCTCTACTTGTGCCCATTGCTGGAGCCACTGCATCAATCCTTCTTGTTGACGGTCTCCCGCTTTTTTGCTGCTTCTCCACCAAGTATCCTTCTCCAGAGACTGATCCCTCCTGATAACATGTCCAAAGTACGTGAGACAAAGTTTCACCATCCTTGCTTCTAAGGAGCTTTCTGGCTGTACTTCTTTCAAGACACATTTATTCATTCTTCTGGCAATCCAAGGTATATTCAATATTCTTCACCAACACTATGAATCCAATGCACCATTTCTGTGGTCTTCATTATTCATTTCCTAGCTTTTGCATGCATATTAGGCTATTGAAAATATCATAGCTTGGGTCAGGCACACATTAGTCATCAGAGTGACACATTTGCTCTTTAGCACTTTAGTGAGATCTTTTGCAGCAGATTTGCCCAATCTAATGTCATTTGGTTTCTTCAGTGTTTCCATGGGCATTGACTGTGGATCCAACTAAAATAAATCCTTCACAGCTTCAGTATTTTCTTCATTTGTCATAATGTTACTTTTTTGTCCAGTTGTGAGCATGTTTTGTTTTCTATGTTGAAGGATAATCCAACTGAAGGCTGTAGTCTTTGATCTTCATCATTTAGTGCTTCATCTCTTGACTTTCAGCAAGCAAGGTTGTATCATCTACGTATTGCAGGTTGTTAATAAGTCTTCCTGCAATCCTGATGCCACAGTCTTCATATAGTCCAGCTCCTCAGAATATTTGCTCAGCATACAGATTGAATAGTATGGTGAAAGGATACCATCCTGATGCACAGCTTTCCTGATTTTAAACCATGCGGTATCCTTTTGTTCTATTCGAATGACTGCCTTTTGATCTATGTTCTGTATGAGGACAATTAAGTGTTCTGGAATTCCTATTCTTCACAAAGTTATCTATAATTTGTTATGATCCACATAGTCAATGCATAATTAATAAAACACAGGTAAACATCTGTTCTGGTTACCTAGTGCCACTCTGACAAGAATATACCACAAATGGGACGGCCTTAACAAACAGGAGTTTATTCTCTCACAATTTGGAGGCTTTAAGTCCAAGTTCAAAGTACTAGGCTCTAGGGGCTGGGTGAAAGCCCCTCAACCTTGGGGTCCAGTTCTGCCTCCTGCTCCCGGCTCACTGAAGCTAGAGGCATTTCTTCACTCAGACAGCTGCTGGCTGCTGAGGCTGAGAAGCCCCAAGGTTGACAAGTAAAAAGGCACAGTCCTGATGTTACCAAACCACATGGCAGGCCATTAACTTAAGTCCATTGTAAGTCCAAGTTCAGCAGACCATGGCAGGCTGCTGAACAATGACACGGCTACATGCAGGGTCCAAATGTGCCATAAGCTAGAGACCATTCCCAAAGCTGCTTCTTATATATGGGAAGCAGACCACATACCCAAAGCAGCTACTCAGCTGCTTGTGGTAGTTCCCACCATGGAGTTGATTGCCAGTCTCATCATGGAATAACTACCACCAGCTGCCCAGCTACTCAACCAGGCCCAGCCAAGTTGACACACAAACATAACCAACACAACATCTCTGTTATTCTCTGCTTTTTGCCAGGATCCATCTGACTTCAGCAATAGTATCCCTCATTCCACATCCTCTTCTGAATCCAGCTTGTATTTCTGGCAGTTCTCTGTTGATGTACTACTGCAAACATTTTTTAATTATCTTCAGCAGAACTTTACTTGTGTATGATGTTAGTGATATTATTTGATATATCCACATTCTGTCGGATCACTTTTCTCTGGAATGGACACAAATATGGATCCATTCCAGACAGTTGGCCAGGTAGCTGTTTTCCAATTTCTTGGCATAAAGGAGTATGTGCTTCCAGCATTGTGTCCATTTGATGAAACATCTCAGTGGGTATTCCATCAATACTTAGAGCCTTGTTTTTCACTGATTACTTCAGTGCACCTTGGAATTTTTCCTTCAATACCATTGATTCCTGATCATATGCTAGCCCCTGAAATGGCTGAGTGTTGACCAATGTTTTGGGTACAGGGGCTCTGTGTATTCCTTCCATCATCTTTGGATGCTTCCTGTGTTGGTCCATATTTTGTCCATAGAATCATTCAATATTGCAATTCAAGGCTTGAGTTTTTTCAGTTCTTTCAACTTGCAAAATGCTGAGCATGTTCTTCTCTTTTGGTTTTCTATTCTGGATCTTCACACATTTCATTTTAATACTTTACTTGTCTTCTTGAGCTGCTCTTTGAAATCTTTTGTTCAACTCTTCTACTTCATCATTTCTTCCATTTCCTTTAGCTACACTCCATTCAAGAGCAAGTTCCAGAGACTTTTCTGATATCCATTTTTGTCTTTTCTTCTTTTCTTGTCTTTTAAATGACCTTTTGCTTTCCGTATGTATGATGTTTTTGATGTTATCCCACAACTCATCAGGTCTTCAGTTATTAGCAGTCAGTGTATCAAATCTATTTTGAGATGGTCTCTAAATTCAGGTAAGCTATTCTGAAGGTTGTACTTTGGTTTTTGTGGACTTGTTTTAATTTTCTTCAGTTTCAACTTGAACTTGCAAGTGAGCAGTTGATGGTGTGATCCACAGTCAGCCCTTGGCCTTGTTCTGATTGATAATATTTAGCAGAATTCTCTTTCCTCTCTTGACAGATATAGTCAAGTTGATTTCTGTGAATTCTATCCAGTGAGGTCCAGGTGTATAGTTGCTGTTTATACTATTGAAAAAAGGTATTTGCAATGAATAAATTATTGGCTTTGCAAAATTCTATCACATGATCTCCAGCATTATTCCTAACACCAAAGCCACATTTCCCAACTACCTCCTTCCTTTTTCTAACTTTCACATTCCAATCACCAATAATTATCAATTCATCTTGATAAAAATCTTCAATTTCTTCATCTTTGGCATTAGTGATTGGTTTGTAAATCCAAATAGTTATATTAACTGGTCTTCCTTATAGGTGTTATCACTGATAACATTGTACTTTATGGATGTTGTTGTTATGGGCTATGGAGTGAGACCCAACTCATAGAACCCCTCCTTGGGTTTCTGAGGCAGTATCACTATGGAAATAGATTGCTCAACCTCCCTTCCAAGGAGTGGCTGGTGGGTTTTAACTGCCAGCCTCCTAGTTAACAGTCAATGCCTTAGGCACTATGCCACCAAAGCTCCCACTTTAAGAATAAATTTTGAAATGTTGTTTTTCACTATAAATGCAATTCATTCCTCTTCAATGTGTTATTTCCTGCATAATAACCAAGTTTGTCTGATTCAGAATGGACAATACCAGTCCATTTCAGCTCAGCAATGCCTCAAATTTTGACATTTATGCATTCCATTCTTTATTGACAATTTCCAATTTTCCTAGACTCATACTTCATATGGTTCATATTCCATTGTTAATAGATTTCTGCAACTGTTTCTTCTCATTTTTGTCATGCTACATCAGCAAATGAAGATCCAAAAAGCGTTACTCCACCCACATCCTTAAGATCAACTCTAATTTGAGGAGGCAACTCTTCTCCAGTCCTATTTTGACTGCCTTCCAACCTGAGGCGCTCATCTTCCTACATTATGTTCCTCAGCTATTCCTAGGGTTTTCACTGGCTAATTTCAGGAGTCAATTACCAAGCCTTTCTTCTTAGCTTGTCTTAGTCTGGAGGCTCCTCTGAAACCTGTCTACCATGGATGGGTGCCCCTACTGGTGCGTGAGATACTGATGGCATGGCTTCCAGCATCATAGCAACACAAAAACCACCACAGCACAACAAACTGACAGAGAAGTGGTGATATCAAGTTATAAATTCAGTGTTCTTGTCATCAAAAAACAAATAAACAAAAACCACTGCCATTGAGTTAACTCCGACTCACAGCAAGCCCCATTGGGTTTCCCAGGTGGTAAATCTTTACAGAAGTAGATTGCCCTGTCTTCCTTCAATGGAGTGGTTTGAACCGCCAACCTTCTGGTTAGCAGTCAAATGCCATAGGAACGATTTTTCCAGCCATCTCTTCCATCATATCCTGATCAAATCTTGGAGCATGTTCCCATAACTCTGCAGTTTTTTCCATATCCCCTGCATGCTTTTTCCTGAAACGTCCACCTTGGAAGATAAAATGTTCTGGATACACTGACAGTCCTAAGTGTGGTTGGCTGTAATTCGAATATGTCTTAAGTTGGGAGCTATCTGTACTCATTGTTCATTCCAAAGAGGTGATACAATTTTTTCCCCCAATTGCTAGTAACAGTGAAGTGGCAGTAACAAAGTCAGGATGCAGAAACAGCCTGGAGGCTTAGAAGAGTAATTTGGAAGACTCCACTTCCCCCCAGTTTCCTATTTTTGTTAGCTTTATTATTTATATTATGTCAGATTTTATAAAAGTGACACTTTGGTTTTATCATCATTCCCACATGTATTAGTCTTCATTATATATTTAATTCGCTTCCTATTTTTCACATTCTTATTTTTATTTTCACATTCTTGTTTTGTCCTTTTAGCTTTTTGTATTTTATACTGTGACTTTTTAACCTAAAGGAGCTCCGGTGGTATAGTGGTTAAAGGATTCATCTGCTAACCAAAAGGTCGATGGTTTAAACCTACCTGCCACTTCGTGGGACAAAGATGAGGCTGTCCCTTCCTTTAGATTTACAGCCTTGGAAACCTTATGGGAATCAACTGGATGTAAGTATCGTGACATAAAACCTTTTAAATAGTGTATCTAGGAATTTTCAGAGAATAAACAATAAGGTCCTTTATTATATTTTTTAACAGGATTCAAGGAAAGACAGTATCCACACAGTGTTAGCTCCTTCAGACAGTAGCCAGACATTCGTCTCCCCACCCGGATGGCCTTTGGCGCGGCCCGGAGAGCGCAGTGCCGCCAGGGGCCGCCAGAGGCCGCTAACGCCCGCCAGCGCCGGTGGTGTCCTGTAGCGCCGCTCTGTGCGTATACGCTGCGCGGGGCTGGCGAGGAAAGCTGGCCCTGAGGCTCCGGCGCAGTGCATCTTGGGTTAGCGTAGCCATGGCGGCTCGTGTCCTTTCCTCCTGTGTCCGCCGCCTGCCCGTGGCCTTCTCACCGCTACCCCGGGCTGCCCCGCTAACCACGGCCCGGACACTCAACACTGCCCTGTGCCCCGTGGGGATCCGGATGAGACCCGGGGCTCCGCAGCCGGTCTCTGTACTCGCGCAGGTGACTCGCGGTGACTTTGTTGAGGACCGGCAGGGGTCAGGGATCGGGCACGCTCGGGGATGGGGGACGGGGACCAGGCAGAAACGAGAGGGGGTCATGCATTCGGGCGGCGAGTCGGGCTATCGAAGTCTGCAACAGAAAGGCCGAGGAGTCCGGCGGGGCAGCGGGGCCGCGCCAGTCGCAGGCTGAGCTGATCCTAGGGCATCTGGCTCGCTCCCCGATCTCACTGCCATAAGAGGACTTGGTTGATCTGTGCCGGGAGGTTAGGTGATCTAGAAGTTAGGGGCACAGATGCTCGAGTCAAGACCCTCGAATGCTGGCCGCCGTTTACTGAATCTTTGCACACGTCTCCTTACCTCTGGAAGCTTCACTCAGACCCTGGAATCGAGATACGAGGCTCTGTCTTACGAAAGTGCATTGAGGGGTAAATGAGATCAAGCACCTGCTGCGGTGCTTGGTGAGTTCTCAAAATATTGGTCCTTGTTACTGGTCGCGATAATGATAAACATTGCGAGAGCTTTCCAGGGGAAGACGAATAACACGGTGCCACACGGCCGATCGCCTGCTCCAGAGCACTTCCCTGGACTAATGCCTTAAATTTTCCTTGTGGCATCTTGTCTGGATTTTAACCCTCCTGGAAGTAAGCACATAGTATCTGGCTTTAATATCTGGTGAAATCTGTATGAGGCCGGAATTCTCAGTAGGGCTGTGATTACCAGTCTGAGCTGCTCATTCCAGTCACCTGGGTATCCATCCATAAGCCTCTTCGCTCCCGGGTCGGGTGCTGGCTTCTGGGCTGCATCTCTGGCACAGGCGTTTTTAAAAAGCTTCCCAGGTGGCTCTGAAATGCAGCTAAGATGAGGGCCTAGTGCCTTGAGGAAGGATAGAATCTCCCAGGGTCAGAAACCTGTTTACAACTCAGGGACTTCATGTCACTTCAATTTTGACTGCATGTAAGAATTTGAAAAATAAGGAAGCCCAGGCCAGTTCAGTCAATCAATCGCTACAGGTGAGGCCTGGGTACCTATTTTGAAAAGTCCTCATGTGATTTTTTAGTCCAGCCAGTGGTGGGATTCACTGGTGTGATGGATTAATTCAGAGTGTTGTCCTGTGGATTGAATCAAAAAGTTAATGATTCCCTTGAAGTTGCGGGCTAAAAGGGCAGTAGGTAGCCTTGTTGAATGTTCTGTTCCATGACACTGGGTTTCAATACTGGGCTGAGATGTGCAGTGATTGTCTCTATTCTCAGAGCAATTCTTAGACTTCCTTGTGCGTACAGGTCTCCTGGGTTAAGAGGCAGGTTCTGATGCCATAGGTCCAGGAAGAGGCCTTTGAAAGTCTTCCTTCCCAGAGGGCTCCCTGAGGCTACTGCTGCTGGTCCTTGAGCCACACTTTGAATAGCAAACCAGGCTTTGAGTAGGTGCTCAGATATGTTTCCCTCCCTCTGCTTGGTTCGTATTTACAGCAAAAGAATCATTTTATTTATATTAAGTGGTTTTGACTCATTGCTCCCATTTAGCCACCTTCCTTACATCCTGTGTGGACTGAGATGGAGAAGAAATACTTGTTCATTTACAGATACTAAGGGACAGCTATGCGCCAGGCCTTAGGCTAGTTGCTGAGTGATACTGAAGTGAACATGAAAGACATTATTCATGTCTTCCTTGGACACTTGGCAGCCCTTACATTATACTTGCCAGCGTCTTTGCTGGTGCTTGTACCTTCTGTAGCCTATTGTAATAATATGCTCTCGGTTCTTCCCTAGCACTCTGCTCCTACCCTGTTTCCTTGGGCTCTTTCTCTACCTAACATTTAAATGTCAATATGCTCCCAAGTTCTTTTACCACCATGTCTCCCAACTGCCAATCTCTTAGTTTCTGTTACTGCCTGTGTGCCAGTCACCCCAAATCTCCACCTCCAGCCCTTATTAGTCTTCATCAGGACTATTGCCCACTGCCTGCTGTCGGATTTCCCCTTCTCAAATCCATCCACGCAACTATTAATTCATTATACTGTTTCCCAAAAAAGGGACCTAAGGTGTCTTTTTTCCTACATGTAAAAATACAAGATGGTATGAATTAGAAGATGGCAAGAAAAAGGAAAAACAAGGGTAGTAGCATAAAATAGAAGGAGCTCTGGTGATGTAGTGGTTAAGGCAGTTGACTGCTAACCAAATGGTCGGTGGTTCAAATCCACTAGCCGCTCCATGGGAGAAAGATGGGGCAGTCTGCTTCTGTAAACATTTACAGCCTTGGAAACCCAATTGGGGTTGCTATGAGTTAGAATCAACTTAGTGGCACTGAGTTTGGTTTTTCTGAGAGCCTAAAATACAGCCTGGAAGTCTTATACTTGGTCTAGGTGGGCCCTGAATCCAAACTAGCAGCCAGAACACAGAAGTTCCCAACAGTTCTGTGGGACACAGTAACCCAGACAAAGACAGACCACTTGTGGTGAGAGCCAGGCCACTAATAGACATATGCACACCCATGTTCCTCGCAGCACTATTCACAATAGCAAAGAGATGGAAACAGCGTAAGTGCTGTCAGTGGAGGAATGGATAACTCTATGGTACATACACACAATGGAATACTATGTGTTTTGGTTACCTAGTGGTGCTCTGACAGGAATATACCACAGTGGGATGGCTTTTACAAACAGGAGTTTATTCTTATAATTTGGAGGCTTTTAAGTCCAAGTTCAAAGTGCCAGGCTCTGGGGGGCTGGGTGAAAGCCCCTCAGCCTTGGGCTTCAGCTCTGCCTCTTGCTCCTGGCCCACTGAAGCTAGAGGCATCTCTTCAGTTGGGCAGCTACTGGCTGCTGAGGCTAACAAACCCAAGGTCAACAAATAAAATGGCTCAGTTGTGATGTTACCAAACAACATGGCAGGCCATTGATTCAAGTTCATTGAAAGTCCCAGGATCAGCAGAGCATGGCAGGCTCTTGAGTAACAACTAGGCTACATACAGGGTTCAGTCGTGCCATAAGCCAGGAGCAAGAGGCAGAGCTGAAGCCCGAGGTCGAGGGGCTTTCACACACCCCCTAGAGCCTGGCACTTTGAACTCGGATTTAAAGCCTCCACACTTTAAGAGAATAAACTGTTTGTTCAAGCATCCCATTCCTGTCAGAGGGTCACTAGGTAACCAAAACAGAATATGGTACCAGGAGAGTGGGGTGCTGCTCTGACAGATACCTAAATGTGGAAACAGGAGTGGAGGGCGTCCTTGACCCAAGACCCTGGCACGCAGCATGAGAGACAGCAGCAGCAGAGCCAAGAGACTGGCAGAGAGATACCGGCAGAGAGACCAGCATGAGAGATGGCAGTAGCAGAGCCCAGAGACGGGCATTAAACAGCAACAGGCTTACCAGCCCATGGAGGAAAAAGCCAGGTGCCATTGCACAGGTGGCTTCCTGGCGGAGTGGATTGCCTTCAGTCATTAATTGATGGAAGAGACCAGCATGAAATGGAGTAGCAGATTGGCTGGCCCATGGAGCAAGAAAGCTGAGTGACCTTTGGGCAGGAATTTTTTCAGTGGAGTGGGTTGCCTTTGGCATTAATCGGCAGAAGCAGAGAGACTGAGGAAATGCAAGCAGAGCTGCCTCAGCCTGAAAGGGTAGGACCATGGCCTTTGGGGGTGGAACCACCACAGCCCCCTGGGTTTCAAAGAGCCAGGCCTTCACCAGCTCGGTTCTGGAGTGTGGGCTGCTCGTTCATGTGGGCCAGCAGCCATAGCCCCTGCCCTAGAGTGAGGGGGCAGGGCATGCCCAAGAGGGAGAGGAACGGGCCGCCAAGCCAAGGGGGTGAGGTCGCCACTTAGAGGAACTCTAGGAGACTGGAGCCACTCAGTGAGAGAGAGCTGTACAGATTCCACCCAATGAAGATCTGTATAGGTGCCAGGTTGACAAGGGGTGGACTTGTGGTAGTTCAGTTGGTGTGTCAACTTGGCTGGGCCTGGTTGAGAGGCTGGGCAGCTGGATGTAGTATTCCCCATGATGAGACTGGTAATCAACTCCATGGTGGAATCTACTGTGAGCAGCTGAGTAGCCGCCTTAGGGCTGTGGTTTGCGTCCTATGTGTAAGGAGAAACCTTGGGGAACAGTCTCTAGCTTATGGCAAGGTTGAACCCTGCATGTAGCTGTGTCATTGTTCAGCAGCCTGCCATGCTCTGCCGACCTTGAGGCTTTCAATGGACTTGAATTCATGGCCTGCCGTGTGGTTTGGTAACATCGGGACTATGCCATTTTATTTGTTGACCTTGGGCTTGTTAGCCTCAGCAGCTGTAGCTGCCTGAGTGAAGAGAAGCTTCAGTGGGCTGGGAGCAAGAGGTAGAACTGAAGCCCAAGGTTGAGGGGCTTTCACCCAGCCCTAGAGCCTGGCACTTTGAACTTGGACTTAAAGCCTTCAAACTGTAAGAGAATAAACTCCTGTTTGTTCAGGCATCCCATTGGTGGTATATTCCTGTCAGAGCAGCATCACGGAGCCAGAACAGGGGCATTGAGTCTATGCTAATGGTGGTGGAATATTTTGGAAAAGGACAGCAATAATGGTGGCTCAACATGAAAAATGTCAGCAGTGTCCCTGAACTGTAAATGTGGAAGTGGTTATGTTAGTGAGTGTCTTGTGTATATTTTCACCACAATAGAAGTTTTAAAAAAAACAATCCACTTATGCAGGACAAGCTTGACTCTTCCTGCTACTAGGCTGACATGTCTGACAGTGATGGACTCAGCTGAATCATGTCCCTGTCATTCGTTCTCCAGTAAGACAAAGTCCTGACCCCTGAGCCCGGCCCCCAAAGCCCTGCAGACCTGGGCCCTGTCACCAGTGGACCACCGTGCCTTTCACCTGGAGCAACGTGACCTGGTCCTGGTGTCGTCTCACACAGAGACACTGCACTTTCATGCCTCCTTTCCTTTTGCTGGCCCGCCCTTCCTTCTTGAGTAATCTGTCCCCATTCTTTGCCTCGCTAACTGCAAGTCTGGTGTCTCCCCCTTCCCTGCCTCCCAAGGATTGGATGATAACCTGTGTTAACTGAAGCAGCCTAAAAGTACCTCTGTTGTGGCTTCTGCTATATTTTATTAAAATTAAAACGATCTGTTTGGATTGCTCTTTTCCATGAAATTGTAAACTCCTCTTAGGTGGAGATACCATATCTTAACACCTCTTTGTATTTGCAGCCCTAGCTTGGTGCTTAGTATATAGATAATCCTTGACTGAGACAGGTGGACAGTCGTGTTAATAAATACAGGTAAGACATTGAAACGTGTGAGAACAAGTGTGTGTACAGTGCAGAGGCAGCAGTCGGGACTTAACCAACATCCCAGGGAGCATGGTCTTGAAGACAGTGGTTTCTGGAGCAGTCGGGGATGTGATGGCACATACAGAAGCCAGGAAGAGCTTGAGACTTGCTTCTTATGGTTGACCCTTGGGCGTCTATGCAGGAGAACACCTGGAGTTGAGGTGGGAAGACAGACATTTTGTGGAGGGTGCTGTATGTCACTGAGGAATGTGGGTCTCCGTAGACCACTGAGAGTGGACCATAAGCACGTGTTTGTGAAAGGAATAAATGAGACGTTTCCTGCCAGTTAGCCAGGCTGTGTGATCAGGTAAATATGGGAGAGAATGGAAGGAGTGGGCTTGGCTGGCAGGTTTCTGGCTGGAGCCTCGGGGTGAAGGAGAGGGAAGAGAGCTCTGCGAACAGGAGCTTTGGAGGTCGAACCACTGGGTGTGACAGGTGTGTGCTGCCTGGGAGGGCTGCCCGCTGGCCAGCTTGCAGCAGTGCCTTTAAAGCCAGCTTCTTCTGGGTTCTCTCAGGCAGAGAGGGGCCCCTGTGTGTGGAGGGAAGATGCTGTCTGCTGGAGAGTACATGGTAATCCTGCTGCCAGCAAAGAGCATGTGGTCTGATGTACGTGAGCTGACTAGTCCCTATGCTTCCTCAATGCAGATCTTTGGGAAGAACAGGCACGTTGGCTTTTGGGGACACTCTTCAAAGGTCCTTGCCATTCTGTATCCTTTTCTTTTGAAACTAGTGTCTGATGAAACCTGTGTGAGAGCAGGACTCTCAGTAGCGAGTGCTTGGTGGGAAGGAGACAGTAAGGCCCTCCGAGCAGCTGTGTTGGGGGACCTGGCACAGGATACCTCACCTTTCTCTGCTTCAGTTTCCTCATCTGTAACATGGGGCTGAAAGTACAGTGTATCTCCAGGCACTATTATTATTAGACCTAAGCTCTGGTAGCATAGTGGCTAAGACTCTTGCCTGCTAACCAGACGGCTGGTGGTTCAAACCCACCAGCCACTCCTCGGAAGGAAGGTTGGGCAATCCTACTTCCGTAGTGATACTGCCTCGGAAACCCAAGGAGGGGTCACTATGATTCGGGGCCGACTCAACGGCACATAACAACGAGATAATGAGGAGCTCTGGTAGCATAGTGGCTAAGACTCTTGCCTGCTAACCAGACGGCTGGTGGTTCAAACCCACCAGCCACTCCTCGGAAGGAAGGTTGGGCAATCCTACTTCCGTAGTGTACTGCCTCGGAAACCCAAGGAGGGGTCACTATGAGTCGGGGCCGACTCAACGGCACATAACAACAAGGAGATAATGAGGAGCTCTGGTAGCATAGTGCCTAAGGCACTTGACTGCTAACCAGAAGGCTGGCAGTTCATACCTACTAGCCACTCCTCAGAAGGAAGATGGGGCAACATACTTCCGTAGTGATACAGCCTTGGAAACCCAAGGAGGGGTTGCTATGAGTCGGGTCCAACTCGACAGCACATAACAACAAGAAGGAGGTAATGTACTGAAAGTGCTTGGGATGGTGGTAGGAAATCAATAAAAGATCAAAATCTGAAAACTAAGAGACTAGAAGGGGAGGTATTACGGGAGATTGGGAAGTCATGCGAGTGAAGGAACAGGATCAGGTACTGTGGGCTGCACTGCAGCCCAGGTCATTACCTCATGATCCTGTGTTAGTGGTTGCCTTGAAAAATGCTCTAATTCATGGTGACCTTGTGTAACAAGGAAAAGTTGCCCAGTCCTAAGCTATCTTTATGATTCTAACTAAACCAAAACCAAACCCACTGCCATCGAGTCAATGACGACTGATAGTGACCCTACAGGATAAAGCAGAACTGCCTCCCAGGGGTTCCAAGGCTGTAAATCTTTGCAAAAGCAGACTGCCTCACCCTTTCCCTGCGGAGCAGCTGGTGGGTTTGCAACACTAACCTTCCGGTTAGCAGTCTACACCATCAGAGCTCCTTTATGACCCTACTAAACCAAAAACGGAAAACCACACCCACTGCCATCGAGTTGATTCCAACTCATAGCACCCCCCATTGGGTTTCCAAGGCTTTGTGGAAGTAGATTGCCTCATCTTCCTCCCACAGAACAGCTGTAGGTTTGAACCCCCAACCTTCTGGTTAGCAGCCAAATGTCTTACCCACTGCACCACCAGAGCTCTCAACCCTAAATAGCATTTACTGTGTATGTACTGGGCAGTGTTCAAGTCCTTTACATTCATGCCCTCATTGATGCCTTACAGTACCCTATGAGATTAGTACTGTTGTTATCCGCATTTTACAAGTCGAGGAAACTGAAGCATAGAAAGGTTAAATAATTTGTCCAAGGCCGACAGCTAGTGAAGAGCCAGGATACACACGTAGGCAGTCTAGTTCCAGAGTCGGTTCTGCCGTAGTTTGCTGCCTTTCATGCTGACCCACTGTAGCTGCCAACTTTGGACTGGCATGTGGTCTCCAGGTGGAGACCCCTTTCAGTTACCACGTGCTGCCCACCAGGCCCCTGTAGGCTCTTGCTCATGCTGCTGGGGACAGTGCTGACACTCATTGGACCACTTGGATAGCTTTGCTTGCACGTCCCCTCACCAGCCACTTCCTTTCCCTCCCCCTTGGGCACTGTGCACATGTGGGCCTCCCCTTTTCCTCCTCCTCCTCCTCCTCCTCAGCATGACCTCCACCTCATACTCTTTGTTGGTATACGCACATAGACATGTCCTCTGTTCGATCCTTCCACCTCAGATTTCTTTTTCTGTCCTCACTGTTAGCTCGTTTCTTCTTCTCCTTTCTGTTTCTTCATTTCATCTGTGACTTGGAAACCTCTTCTAGCCGTTGTTGGTATGTCGACCTGGTGATAGGCTCACATCAGAGGTCTCCTTGATCCATGTTGGGGTTAGAAAGGAAAGACAGTCCATAAAGTTAGACAGAAAAGAGCAGGTGCTGGCACCTCCAAAGCTCTTGAAAGTACCCAGAAATACTCTAGAATATTCATAAAACTCTCAACCTAACCTCTTTACCTGGTTGATTAAACCTAATTTCCATACCTGCTTTTTATGCAAGATCAACATTTCTTATCCAGAGATTGATACTGGTTTGGTTCAGTTGGTTCCTAGACCTTTTGTGAGTCTTGGGGAGCTGAACCCCAGCAAGGAAAACCCCTTTCTATGGGGAACTGCCTTAAGAAATCCAAACTGTGGGCTTCAAAGGCAGCCTCATGTGAATGGGGGAGGTCTGTGGTGAGCAGAGCTGTCAGGCAGCTGTTCACAGTCTCTTGTTCTTGTGTCTTCCATAGCAGTGAGCCTGCTGACCTCATTCCACGTTGGTGAATGAACATGGTCAAGGCAGCTGCTATCAGAGATACTGAGGTCATGACAAAAGGCTTGTGGCGGTAAGGCAGGCCTAGGGGACAGGGCGAGAGAGTGGAATGCAGTGACTTTCGGCTCCCACATCCTCTTCTTTAGGTTGGCATGCTGGCTTCATTTGTCCCGGCCAGGGTCAGTGTAATTACCTCAGGCCAAACTAGACCTATCTGTGTGGGCTTCAGTGGGAATGGCCTTTCACGTCAACATGACAGCTCTCTCCCTGTGTGTTATTTTGACTTGAGTCTGTCTGTTAGAGGTGAACATGCTCTGAAGAGGCAAGGGGATGCTACTGTGAGAATACATCTTCTGCAGACCCTGGACCATTTTGGTAGCTGTTGATCTCAGGGAGCAGAATGAACATCCAGAAAGTCTTGAGGGTGGAACAGAGCAGTCAGAGGGGCCCAGTCCTGGGTCAGACGGGAAAGGGGACCCATATCTATGCTGCTGAATTACTGGGGCTTCTGTGGCTACTCAGCATGGGTGATAAGGGGCCGGTGTTGTGACTCAGTGTGTCCTAATGACCCACTTAGAAGCGGATAATAGAGGTTCTCTAAAGCCATGAAAGCTGTCTACAGCCCAGTGCGTTTTATGTTAAAGGACGCTGTTCCCTTCCTCCCCTTGCTGCAGGTTCCTAGAGTCACACAGTTGTGCCGCCAGTACAGTGATGCACCCCCACTGACGTTAGAGGGAATCAAAGACCGTGTTCTTTACGTCTTGAAACTCTATGACAAGATTGACCCAGAAAAGGTAATTGGTGGTGGTTTCATTTTTCTCCCAGCCACCCAGTTCCCCTTCTGGGAGGCAGCCAGTGAAGCCACTTCTTTTATGTTTCCAGAGATGTTCAAAGCATGTCTAAGCAGATACACACGTATGTATGTATATGTATGTATGTTGTATGTATTTACGTGATAGACATACATGGCTCCCACATTTTTACAGAAAACCACTTTGTTGTTGTTAGGTGCCTTGAGTTGGTTGTGACTCACTGTGACCCTGTGAACAACAGGCTGAAACACTGCCCGGTCCTGCACTGTCCTCACAAGTGTTGCTGTATTTGAGTCCACTGTTGCAGCCACTGTGTCAGACCACCTCGTTGAGGGTCTTCCTTTCTTTCACTGACCCTCCTTTACCAAGCATGATATCCTTCTCCAGGGAATGGTTCCTCCTGATGACATGACCAAAGTATCAAAGACAAACTCTTGCTATCGTCCTTTCTAAAAAGCATTCTGGCTGTACTTTTTCTAAGACAGATTGGTTTGTTCTCGTGGCAGTCCATGGTATATTCAGTATTCTTCGCCAACACCATAATACAAAGGCATTCAATAATACTGTGGTCTTCTTTATTCACTGTCCAGCTTTCACATGCCTACGAGGCGACTGAAAAGACCATGGCTCGGGTTAGGCGTACCTTAGTGATCTAAGCGACATCTTTGTTTTTTAACCCCTTTGCAGCACATGTGCCCAATGCGATACGCTTGATTTCTCGACTGCTGCTTTCATAGGCATTGATTGTGAAGCAGAGTAAAATGAAATCCTTGACAGCTTCAACTAGAAAAACAGAAGTGGTGGTATGTTAAGGAGCCTTCATGGCTCAGTGGTTAAAGTGCTTGGCTGCCAACCAGAAGGTCAGTAATTCGAACCCACCAGCCACCCTGTGGGAAAAAGATGAGGCAGTCTGCTGCCAAGGAGATTTACAGCCTTGGAAACTCTATGGGACAGCTCTACTCTGTCTTTAAGGACCACTGTGAGTCAGAATCAACTCAGTGGCAGTGGATTTTGGTTTGGTTGTATATTATAAACCTTCTGCACTTTTTTTTTTTCAACCTAACAACTCTTGGTATTTTTTTACAGTGATTTTTTTCATAGTAAAACATTATTCCTTTAATAATTGTATCTGCTAGGACATGAACAGGCACTTCACCAAAGAAGACACTCAGGCAGCTAAACGTGAGGAAATGGTTGTGATCACTAGCCATTAGAGAGATGCAAATCAAAACAGCAAGATAGCATCTCACCCCAGCACCAATAGCAAAATTCAAGAAAACAGAAAGCAACAAATGCTGCTGAGGGTGTAGGGAGACTGGAACCCTCATTCACTGCTGATGGAACTGTAAAATGGTGCAACCTCTGTGGAAAACAGTATGTCACTTCCTTAAAAAGCTGGAAATTGAAATACCATATGATCCAGCAGTCCCACTACTAGGTTTGTATCTTAGAGCGATAAGAGCTGTGACAAGAACAGGTACATGCACAGTCATGTTTGTCACAGCATTATTCACAATAACAAAGGTGGAAACAACCAAAATGCCCATCAGTGGAGGAATGGATCAACAAGCTGTCATACACACACACAATGCTACACAAGGTTACAGAACGATAGTGAATCTGTGAAAAGTTTCATAACACGGATGAGTTTAGAGGATACTATACTCTGAAGTTATTCAATCACAAAAGGACAAACACTGTATGAGACCACTATTGTAAAAAAGTCAAGAAAAGGTTTGTACAGAGAAATATCCTTTGATGGTTACCAGGGGTGGGTGTAGGAGGGAAGGTAAACCACTAATTAGAGGGTGAAAACCAAACAAAACTCACTGCCGTTGAGTCGGATCCAACTCATAGCGACCCCTCCATGGGTTTCTAAGGCAGTATCATTATGGAAATAGTTTGCCCAACCTTCCTTCCAAGGAGTGGCAGGTGGGTTTGAACCGCCAGCCTTCTGGTTAGCAGTCATATGCCTTAGGCACTACGCCACCAGAGCTCAGACACATATTAACTTGAGTGAAAGGAATAAAATTAATAACAGTAACACTAAAAAATTAATAATAAAATTAATTGTGTCTGCTGTGTGGGTGGGATCATTTGTTTTTGGTAATGGGTTTTTGAAGTATTTTTCCTGGTGGTCTGAGGTATAAATTAAAGGCAGGAGCATAAACACTGTAATCTGAAGCTGCCTCCAGTTTCCTAACCTGCTGTTCCTGAGAGAGAGGAATGCTACTTCTGTGGAGACTGAGTTGCCAGTAAAGCAGCAAGAAAAACCACACTCCTGCAGATGTCTCTCAGAGCAGTTCAAAGAGCTTATTAAAGACTGTGAAGCCACGGCCTCACTAGCTTTGTTTATAGTGTTTTCTGGTTCAAAATCAGCTTTAAAAAGTTAATATAAAAAGCACCCCAAGTATCATGGCGGCACAGGTTAAATGTATGTGAGTTAGGGCCTTTATTTAGATAGATAGATATTTTTCAAGAAGGTTTTCTACATAACAGGTTGCCTTGTATCTTTGTGTTTGTGGATGCAGGAAGCAAATGCTTTCACAGATTCAAGTTTCTGTCTGGTGCCCTTTCTTACAGCTTTCCGTGAATTCCCACTTCATGAAGGACCTGGGCTTAGACAGTTTGGACCAAGTGGAGATTATCATGGCCATGGAGGATGAATTTGGTAACGCAGGCTGAGCCTCGGATTTGCATGTAGTGAATCTTGCTTTAGGTGGAGTAATGCGACGCAAGTGCTGGGAGTCTGAAACGGAATTGGAATCAAATGTTCATAGAAACATGTAACCCCACCCCCAACCTGGTTACCTTCAGGTGAAGGCAAATAGCAGGAACAGTGCATTGATTGATTGAGAAAGCAAGCGATGCAGGGGCCACAGAATGCCCAGTGGGAACAGAGGGCTAATGACCAGAAAGGGTCGGGAGCATGTGGGACTTAGATCCTTGAGGTGGTCTCCAACACGGAGCTGTGGTGACCCCTCAGCACCCCTCGTGAGATAGGCCTCGATATCTACCTGGAGAAGTAACGGCGTGCTGAGGCTAGGGCACACAGCTCGCTGGCCTTGGTCTCCTGCAATGCCTACTATGTGTGCATGGACCAGTTGTGCAAACAAGGCCTTGAAAAGGCTCCCTGGCTCAATTTTGGGTGAGCTGTTTGAGTAGGAAGGCAGGGAACTTCAAGCCATCATACAGAACATGACTGAGTTAAAATTCTTCGTGGATTATGCTGAGTAGAGGGATAGTGAAGGTTGCCTAGTGCTTTCGAGTACCAGGTGTGGGCTCAGGTACCTGGCTTAGCCAGGTGGGAGCCTGGGTAAGTAACTACATCTCTTGAAGCCTGTTTCCTCAGCAGTGAAATGGGAATAATAATAGTTAGAACCACAGGATTGGGATTGCTGTGAGGATTAGAGAAATTGTGTGTAAAACGCCCAGCACTACATTTGAGCCAAAGCAAGCACTTGCTAAACATTAACTCTCCAAACTCAGCTGTTCATGGTGGAATAATTTGGAAAAGGGTGGTGAGAGTGGTTGCTCACCAGGAGAATGTAATCATTGCCACTGAATTACATGTGCAGAAATGGTGGAACTGGCAAATGTTTTGTATGTATTTTCCCCACAATTATATGTGTATATATATACACGCATATATCATTCATTGAAAGGAATGAAGTATGACACTTGCTACAACATGGGTTAACCTTGAAAACAATGCTAAGTGAAGGAGGTAGACATAAAAGGCCACATACTGTGTGATTCCATTTATATGAAATGTCCACAAAACGCAAATCTATACAGACAGGTAGATAAGTGGCTTCTAGGGGATGGTGGAAAGGACTAATGGGGGTGACTGCTAATGGGTATCTGTTCCTTCTGGGGGTGATGAAATGCCTTGGAATTAGATAGTAGTGATGGTCGGTATTTTGTAAATGTACTAAAAATCATCCAATTGTGTAGGGAAGTTGAAGCCCTTACCCATTGCTGGTGGGACTGCAAAATGGCACAGCTGTTGTGGAAAACAGTGTGGTGGTTCCTAAAAAACTAAAACTAGAACTGCCATATGACCCAGCAATTCCACTCCTAGGTATACATCCAGGAGACATGAAAGCAGAGACTCAAATTGAGACTTATACACCAGTGTTCACCACAGCACTATTCACAGTAGACAAAAGGTGGAAACAGCCTACATGCCCATCAACAGATGAATGGATAAACCCCACAGCCAGTAAGGGAAATGAAGTCTTGATACACCCCACATTAATGGAGCAGGAAGACATTATGCTGAGAAAAATAAGCCAACCACAAAAGAACAAATACTGTATGACCTCACATATAAAAAGACAAGAAAAGGCAAATGTACTGAGACCAGACTTTATTAGTGGTTACCATAAGGGAGAGGGTGGGGGAGAATGAGGATTAACAGTGATGGAAAAGTCACATTGATTAAGGGTAGGATTGCACAGCCAATTATTACAATTTCTGTCAATAAGTTGTACACCTGTAAAATAACTGAATTTAATGACAGAAAAACACACACACACACACACGTAGCTGCTGAGGCTCCTTATATATAACCAAGCAATTCATGGGATTTGGTCCCTTGGTTTGGAGGTTTAGGGTCATGGTTTCATGCCATATCCCAGTTAATTGGCCTAATAACATGTTTAGGGCATCTGTTCTATCTCTTAGTTCATTACATAGTGCCTCGGGTCTTAAAAGCCTGCAAGACACCATCCAGGGCACAACAATTGGTTTCCATTCGCCTGAGCAACAGAGGAAGAAGGAGAGTTGGAACAGAGAAGGATACAGAATGTAAAGCTAACTGCCTCCACGAACCACTGCCTCCTTTGCCCTGAGACCAGAACTGGCTGGTGCAATTACTGAACATTTTCATAAGAGATTCTATGGAAGAAACCTGATCAAAAGGGGGAAAATGCAGAACCAAATGTCAGATTCTTACAGAATCCAGACTTGCTGGAGCCATGGCGGGTGGATGAACCCCTACCTATTGACCTGAGATCATCTTTAAACCTTAAACCAAAAATGGACACTGAAGTCATCTTAAAACCAAATAATATTTTAGCTTACTTAGGAGCTCTGGTAGCGTAGTGCCTAAGGCACTTGACTGCTAACCAGAAGGCTGGAGGTTCAAACCCACCAGCCACTCCTTGGAAGGAAGACTGAGCAATCTACTTCCATAGAGATAACACCTTGGAAACCCAAGGAGGGGTTGCTGTGAGTCAGATTTGACTTGACAGCAGTGCTTTTGGTTTGGTTTTTAGTACTTACAAAAAAGGTCTGCAGTGAGCATTACGCTCTTTTACAACTATCAGTATGGAATCAGACTGACAGCAGCAGCTTGAGAAAGGTTAGGTAGGAAACTTAGGGGCAGGGAGTTCTGTCATGAGGGAGCAACAACTCAGAAAAGGAGGGTGTGGAGAATGGTTGCACAACTCAGTGTCCTCACTGAGTGAGTTGTACATGTAGAAACTGCTGAATTGGTGTGTGTTTTGCTGTGTATTTTCTCAGCAAAAGCAAAATTTATAAAATTTAGGGGGGAAATCCACTTATATAGTTTGAAATGGTGGATTTTATGGTTTGTGGATAATATTTAAATAAATAAGCCCATTGTGCTCAGCATTGGTGAGAAGCCAATGGCTCACAACCGGACGGCATCCACAGTGGCTGGAAACCTTGCTGTGCTCGGAGGTGTTACGTGCCTGATGTTCTTAAGCTTAAAGGATTGCTTTTTCTGTACTCACATCGTAAATTTTTCTTGTAGGGTTTGAAATTCCTGATATAGATGCGGAAAAATTAATGTGTCCTCAAGAAATTGTAGATTACATTGCAGATAAGAAGGATGTATATGAATAAAATACCAGGTAAATAATTTGACTTACAGAGTGATGTTCTTTCATGGCATTAATCTGACTATGGTTCTTTAATAAAGTACAAGACTCAGAAAGAGACAGAGATTTGCACTAGTGATAAATTGTAGGCCCCTCCTGGGATCTGACACCAAGAGGGCTGGCCCTAGCTGGCCACGCCTACCTTCTAGAGAGGCTGTGAGCAGTTCATCCCCAGAACGCGGTGGCCTTGACTGTCAGCCAGCCCAGAAGGCAGAGTCCACAGCAGGCTGAGTGGTAACTTGGGCAGACAGCCCTCTGTGTCTCAGGTACTCACCCAAAGCAAACCCAGCTTGCTGTCCAGAAGCTGAGGGGACGTGGCTCCTAAGAGGCAGGATAGGCCTCCTGGGTAACAGGATGGACTTGGAAGCCATGGGAGTCATGGACACTTGCAATGTGTTCCCAGCTCTGCCTTGGTTGGTGATCTGAGGGTTTCGGGCAGCCATTTAGCCTCTGTAAGCCTGTTTCCCCATATGTAAAATGGGGACAGTGGTAGGGGCTACCTGAGGCTTTTGTGAAAGTAAAAGTGAGTAGTGTATGTAAGTCACCTAATACAGTGCCTCTCAATAAATAGCAGCTATTACTTAGTTTCTAGAATAATCAGATAGCAAGATTTTTAAACATTAGAACATTTTATAATTTTAACTTCCCTCGATTTAGTACCCCTAAGATTGTAGCTAGGGAGCTCTGGTGGCGTAGTGCCTAAGGCACTTGACTGCTAACCAGAAGGTTGGCGGTTCAAACCCACTAGCCACTCCTCAGAAGGAGGGTTGGGCAATCTACTGTAGTGATACTGCCTCGGAAACCCAAGGAGGGGTGTCTCTGAGTCGGAAACGACTCACCGGCACATAACAACAAGATTGTAGCTAATAGTCATTGACAATGCAGGAGAAAGACGCACTGAACTGATTTTGTCTTTGCCAGACCCCCTCTCTCCCCCAAAAGAAGACTTGGATGATTCTGGTGCGTGTCCAGAAGTACGATGGCACATTGGCATCATTGCTGACTTTGACAGAGTAATTCTGTTGAACTTGTATTTAAATTGTCTAAATGTTTTGCCCTTTGAAAATAAATATATAAAACTAACATTTTCTCAATCTTCAGTTTTTCAATGATGTCTAGAAAGTGCTTTTTTATGTTGACATTGTTTAATATTTTTGAAGATTTCTCTGGATTTCATTGGTACTCGGGTGTATCAGAAACATGCACTGGAAGGGATCGCCACTGGTGTCATGAAACAAAATGTGTACGTATGTATGTATCATTGAATGGGAAACTAACGTGCTCTGTAAATTTTCACCCAAACCACAGTACAAAATAAAAGAAAGGGGGGAAAAGCTAACAGTGGAAGCACTGTGTGATCCAGCAGTCCCATTCCTGGGTATGTTTTTAAAATATATGTATATATAT